GGTAATACCTAAACAGTTCGTTATTGCCGTTAGAAAATGCTGCTTGGCGTTTTTTTATAAGAATCTTAAAATTAGCTGTGATCCAAGGGGGATCATTCACATGTAGTGTTATTCTTCTTTTGGGCATTAGGATATTGATACCCAGGTTAATAAGATCAGTGAAAAGCTCAAGTTTTTCTTCACAGGTTTCGAGATGATTTAGGATGGACCAATTACAGGAGGTTAGGTATCTTCCGAGTTCGCTCTTTTTACTGGGACGCATGTCTCTACTTATGACGACCTTTCGACTACCTGATTTATCACGTCTGTTTTTAGGGTTTAGAATGACCACATTGTGATCTGAGAGGCCAAAGGGAGGATGTTTCTCTACAGAGTCTTTAGCGTAAAACGAGTATAAGTTAGTAATAATTAGATCAAGAGTCTTGTCAGCTCTGGTAGAAACATTGACCATTTGTTTGCATTGAAACTGGTTCAGTAGACGGTTAACTTTCAATTGGTTGAAGTCTCCTGATAACATTAGACCACAGCCTGGATAATCGCTTTCAATGGTGGTAAGTGATATTGAAAGGTAACTGAGCATTTCATGATCATCGGCGCGTGGAGGGTGGTATATTACGCCAATTACAAGACAGGTAAATCCACGGGGTAATCTTTTGGGAGTAAGACGTACCCAGAGAACCTCTAACAAGGGATGCCGTAGATGGTCTAAACATTCAAAGGATATTGAGTTCTTAATATATAAACCTACACCTCCATGACAGCTCACTGAACGGTTTTTGAAGATGAAATTATATCCATCTATATAAAGACACGATTCGTCAATTGATCCATGGAGCCAAGTTTCGGTGATACAAGCAGCGTCTGGATTGTGAATTTTCATAAAACAAGAGACTTCGTCAATTTTAGGGGAGAGTAACCTGGTGTTTGTGAGTAATATTTTGGGCACGAACGTCTTTTTGTTCTCATTTTGGGTTTTAAATGAGACAGTAATTAAATTACCGTGTGTTCTTGGGGGTATTTTATAAGATTTGTTAAAACTTCTGTTTGTGATTCTAACCGTTATGTTTTGTAGGTTTTCCTGATAAGTGGGAGATGTCATGAGTTTATGAACGATATACCGCTTAATGTAAAGCGAAATTTCGTGAGGAAACTGGGATTCGAGCCGACCTTGCGATAAAACTTTTACGCCGGCTACATTTAGCGTGAAATCGACATTGTTTTCGACTGCAGAAATTGGATGCCTTGACAAGCTTCAACAGCCTAACAGGTTTGTATGAATGACAAGAACTTTTTAGTCCGTTCGGACGTGTTTAATAGTTGGGTATGCATATAGTCAGGGTATATTTTAACACGATTTGTTGTAAGTGCATGTTTACTTCAAAAAATTCTTGTCATTCGTACAAACCTGTTAGACTGTTGAAGCTTGTCAAGACATACAATTTCTGCAGTCGAAGACAACGTTTATTTCACGCTAAATGTAGCGGGCATAAACGTTTTATCGCAAGTCGGCTCGAATCCCAGTTTCCTCACGACATTTCGCTTTACTTTAAGCGGTATACCAATAGCGTTTAATGCTGTTTCGTGCACGTTCGTTATCGTATTGTCTAGTTCACATAACCGTTCTTTGAAGCTTCTCCGTTTGTTTACCAATGCCAAACAGGCTTTACAAATGCTATTTGCAGGTAAAATGGAGAAGGAAAGGTCGTCTAACTCCTTACGTATGTTCTCCTTGCTGTCCAAGAAATTAATATCGCTTTCATTCGACGGGACGTTGAAGCAAAGACCACATTTCTATTGCACAAAGCCCACCATGAAACATTTTAATATAAAGCGCGCACACGTCATAAATTTGAATAAATTGAAGTTAATTTACGCAAAACGGATATGACGTAGGCCGGGCAAGCTTTTCTTCGTTTATTCGTAGACCCCTCACGAAACGTGTTTCTGCTGGGGTCTACACCGTAGGCTAACACAAATCGAGATCTCCACAATACATAGATCGCGCGAAAGACTGGGTCGAGTGGACTCTGGAGAAACCACCGCGTGTCAAGAATAGTGTGCTGCCTTCGGCAGCAAAAATCAACAAATAACTTAATTGGCATCTCAACCAGGCAATACAATATTTTGAAATCACCAATTGCATGCGCAAGACACACTGGGAAGCGCATCTAATAAGAAAAGTATCCGCTGAATGTTTTGCTTAAGGTCGCGGGTCAATGATGCGTCCGACTATCAATGAGGAGTCCGACTGTTTACGGAAAAAAAATTTGCTTCGGCGACTTGAGCCGCATAATAACACCATTTTAGCGATCTTGTTTGCGTTGTGTGTTTCGGAAATTAAATATGTTTATATCGTTAGTTCTTCAGAAAAGGGCAACAAATGATATTATGTCAGTAACATATCAATATCTTATTCCTCTAGAGCGTAAATTTACGCATACTAAAGTTGTTGTATTCACGGACGGATAGAACACAATCGGACGGTGCGTGAAATTAGATAGTTTAACTTTGCGTGAGTTATTCATCGCAATTTCGCGATATAGAAATAAATTAACCGCTTGAAATTACTTTTGAATACGCTCTAGAATCAATTAAAATTTTACGTTTTTCGTTATAAAGGTAAAAAATAAGGTTTTAAACGAGCTTTGCGATCTATCCCAACGCTGACCAGCCCCTTTGTCAGAAAAAACAGTGATCTTTCACAAGCTACCATGGACGAACGGAACGGAATGTTTTCATTTTCCATCACGTACTAAGGAATATGACAAGAAAAAATGGTCTTTCAAAAAAATTGGATTTCCATTAGTGGTTAAGCGGCCAAAGCAGTTTATTTACAAACTAGTCGTTCCAGCTCTAGGTTGAAATCGAACCTGGAGCTGCGAAACCTGAGGCTGACTGGCTCGTCATTCGAGCGCAGCAAACAATAAGCTACTAATTACACTGGCCTGTAGGCCAAGTGTCTTAAATCCCTCTTTTTCTGTTTTTTCATGGCGTTTTTTCGTAGTCGAGAAATCGAGTTTGCGTTAGCTCATCGCAGGCGTTGCTGATCATGATTGTATTTATTGGTTGTATTTATATGGTCCAGACCTCCTGCATCCCTATCTATAGCCTGCATGGCAGGCGGTACGTAGGAAATACCGCCTGCCGCAAAACTGGGTGTAAATGAACTACCGCCCCTGAAGCATCAACGCTATTTATA